AGATAGATAGATAGATAGATAGATAGATAGATAGATAGATAGATAGAGATAGATAGATAGATGGACATAGATAGATAGATAGATAGATAGATAGATAGATAGATAGATAAAATGTTGGGATTAGCCTCAAAATTAAACATGAAATTTACTTAATGTTTTTATTGTCTTAGTCAGGGTTACAACTGCAATTGACTTATGGTACTACATCACTTTTCATCATCAGAGAAAGTCAGGGAAGAAACTAAAACAGGGCAGGAACCTGAAGGCAGGAGCTGATGCAAAGGGGCATGGATGGGAGCTGCTTACTGGCTTTGCTTCTCATGGCTTCCTCAGCCTGCTTCCTTATAGAACTCAGAACCAGCAGCCCAGGGATGGCACTACCCCCAACGGGCTGGGCCCTCCCCCATCAACCACTAATTAGGAAAATGCCCCACAGGCTTGCATACAGCCCCACCTTACAGAGCATTTTCATAATTGAGGTTTCTTTTTGTGATTGACTCTAGCCTGTGTCAAACAGGGATGAAATTAGCAAGCACAACTGTCTCTAGTCCAACTATTTCTGATGAGATTTAAGTTATTAATTAGATCATTATTCCCTTAGAAATAATGGTTGTTATTCTCTGGCGATTTCCAGGAGTTAGCATTTATTTTTAGTTTTCAGAAACCTCACTATGTTATGAGCTTTTTAAAACTGTAAATGTAATTCACACAAAAACTGGGTTTGGGCTAGCACTACTTAAAATGTTCCGTGCCCTTTTCCTCCTCTCCTCTGAACTTACAGCTTAGATATTAAGCCTTTGACACGTTACTACAACATCCAAGGTTCCGTATCTATTAAGTTTTTGACTACTGTATTATTGAAGATAATTTTTTTCTACAGGTCTGTTTTCAAGCTGAGTGATTTTTTCCCCATCATTTCCTGCTGTTGTTAAACCCATCAGGTGAATTTTATATTGCAGATAATTTAATCTTCAGTTTAAAGTTTTGGACTTTGGCTTCTTTGATGAAATGTCCTAGCTTTTCATTTTTTATAAGCATATTTTCCTTTACATCACTGTGTATAGTCATTAAAAACCACCTTGAATTTTTTTTTTATCTAATAATATCAACAACATGATCATCTGTGTTTTCTCTGTTTTGCTTCTCTATACTGGGTGATACTGGATCACAGATGGAGAGTGTGGCCCTGAGCAGGTCAGGGCAGGGCTGGGCTCTGTTACATCCCCCTCAGAGCATTCATTACTCCCTATTTTGTTTTATGTCAGCAGTTTGTTAGACTAAAAACTGTCAAGTCCCATTTCTTATGCAGCAGCCCAAATCCCCCATCTGTTACTTCATCCCAAAGCAAGCCACGTGGAATCTGCCCTGGGAATCCCACAGCAGAACTACACCACGGAACAGGGGTGACAGGAGCTGAAAGCCACCACGGAGCAAACATTGCAGTCAGCAGAGGAGAAGGAGGGGGAAGTGCGTGGCTCTCGCGATGAGTATTTTCATCTCTAAGGGTTGTCTTCACAACAGGGGAGGACGAGGCCCTCCCCTCCTCGAGGAGCACCACCACCAGATACACTTACTGAATCTGACTTCCAATTTCCTTCCAGGTGTAAGCCTCCCCTGCGTGGGCTGGTGAGCATCCGAGCGAGGGCGGTCTACATCTGTGGGCAACACACACTCGGAAGTTAAACGCTGAGATCAGCTGGGGAGTAATCAGACGCATGTTCATCCTGGGCGTCGCTCCTTTTCTTGTCTTATTGTTTACCTGAGTGGGGGTGAGCGGTGGGGGGGGGGGGATGAACTCGATGATGTTTCTTTATGCTGACGTTTTACAGACTTAAGCAGGAATTCTATAATACATGAGCAAGCTTGAAACACATTTTAAAATCGTAGCCTCTGCTGTGTGAGGACCGCTAGAGGGGAGTAGAGCACTAAACGAGATTTCTTTCTTCCAGCTCGAGATGGGATTCCCTGGGGAGTCTGCTTACATCAATTACTTAACTGCTACAAAACACAGGGTGAGTGACTCCCCGCTTCCACGGGGAAATCGGCCTGTCGCTCTCTGAGAGCACACATTCCTCAAGCAAGAGCAGCGCCTCGGACCCCTGCGCATGCCCACTCCACTTCTATTTTCCTGGTGACAAAAACGTTCTCAGTGGGGCCTGATCTGGAAAACATGCCCTTATGGAAAGCAACCACGAGGTCCCAGTCCTGGTTTTCAGAGATCTCGGAACTCGTCTGAGTTCTAAGTTCTTTGCCTCTAGCACGGTAGTTCTCAACCTTCCCAGTGCTGAGACCCTTTAATACAGTTCCCCACGTTCTGGTGACCCCCCCCCCCCGAAACACACACCATAAAATTATTTCACTGCTACTTCATAACTGTGATTTTGCTGCTGTTATGAATTGAAACGTAAATAAATATCTGTGTTTTCTGATGGTCTTAGGCCACCCCTGGAAAAGGTTGTTCGACCCCCTTGAAGGGGTCGAGACCAGCAGGTTAAGAACTGTTGGTCTGGTGCTTGCTAAGGGGGGCCGGTCTCAGGGAGAGCAGCAGGTGGAGGGAGAGGGCTGCCCTCCTGGGGCTGCACAGGAGCACCAACTCAGGTCAGGTGGTAAGAGGATCTGGGCCTACCTGTACTCTTTGGTTTCTGTTACTCTGTGAGGGGGTTGTCCCCAGTTCTTAGGCTCCTAATAGTTAAAGTCGAGGACACTGTTAACTTCTGAGTCAGGTAGCCAAGAGTTTGATCCATTAGTTTATTTCTGAGGTGACTGAAAACTAATAATGCAGTCTTCTTCAGGGACAAAGGTGTGGCTGCAAGGGGTGGAGCGCCAGGCCCTCCCCTCCCTGTGTGTTCTCTCCTCCCTTCCTCCTTCCCTCCCTGCCTGCCTCCCTTTCTCAGAAAGCCCCGTAGTCTGAGACTGAGCTGCCTCCAGCCGGCAAGCACAACAGTGTGCTGAGGCGAAAGCACAGAAACTGAACATGTAAAACCTCTTCTATCAATTAGGCATTCGAGCCAAGCCTGTGCATTAATCTCACAGCTGTCCGCATGTTGGTAGCTTACGTGTTCTCAGTTTATACGGGCCGTAGATCCCCAGAGTCTCCTTTCCAACATGTTTATCATTAAGAAAGGCTCAAGACATATGCTGTTGAAGGATTGGGGTGGAAGGGAAACAGCAGCCATATTGTGCTCACATGCTTCTGTTATTCCAATCCAGGTGCTGTTGCGAAGGGTTTTTACAGATGTGAAAAGGTCCCGCATCAAATGAACCGGGGAAGAGGATCATCGCACGTGGGCCTCCGTTCCCTGCACAGACAGACGCTGCCTGTGGACAATAGCTTTTGGCTGGACACATAGGCTTCCAGCTTGCAATGTTCTCCCCTTCCCCATGTCCAAAACTGAACTTGTGTATCCACCCCAACAAACGTATGATCCAATTCCTTAATATTCCCTGTCATCAGTCTATCCAAAATCCGCCCTCTGTAGCTCTTACTGGTTCTGTTTGTGTCTGGATGCCAACTGGAAACACTTCACCTACACCACAGCAGGCAAGAAAGGCAGATGGACCTTGGGCTTCCCCTGTCTCTTCAGGCCCAGCCTCCTTGACCCCTGCCATCTTTTAACCGACCCTCTCCTGCTACCCCCAAAGACACAGGCAGGCAGAAGTCACAGAATTCAGAGCAAAGACTGGCAGAAGGTCTAGAGGTGGGACGAGATGAAGGCAGAAGGTGGAGAGGAGGAACGGGAACAGCCAAGAGGCTGAAGGGTGGCCTGGGAACAGCAGAGAGGAAGATCTGGATAGTGGGATACAGAAAGTCTAGCCAGAACACCAGCACTCACCTTTGTCTGTGTTCACTAGCTACCCTTCCTGTGAGTCAGGAAGGATGCCCACACTTAGCTTCTGAATCGTGTGTGTGTGCTGTGCAAATGTATGTGGGAATAGCTCATCTCTTAATCCAGCTTTTACCACTTTTCCAGGCTGTTTTATTCTGAGAGAGTCTCTACAAAGCCCTGCCTGTCCTGAAACTACGGGGACCGGGTTGGCGGTGAATTCACAAACTCACCTGCCTCTGCCTCGATAGAGTTGGGATTAAAGTGTATGCCACCACACTTCCGGGTTTTTCACACTACAAACTGTGGCCTGTGGCTCGTACGCTGGCTTGCAAGATACAGAGAACGCCTGCAACACGCCACCACTTAGAAAACAAACCACAGCACTTCATGTGCACAGACTGAACGCAGACTGTGCTTTGGGGGAGGGGGGCTCTAGCTGGTGATCAGAGCAAACAGTGGTGCTTTGCATGCACATCTACTCATCGCTCCTATCACTGACGTTAAGTTTAGAAATGCAGACTTGCTGATGGGCGCACTTAGCACAGACGCTATTCTGTCTGCTGCATTTGCAACAGGCTGGATGCCAACTTGCACAGAAATGGCTGCTGCCACCTGTGCCTGCAAACCTTGATCTGTGGTGACAATGACATAGCCCTCCCCATGAAGGCATTGCCGCTGATGATTTCATCGGGCCCTCGGCAAATAGTGACTTCTGCCAGTTAATGAACTTACAGCTCTGTGTGCTCGCTGGGAAAGGGAGAAACCCTAGAGCAGAGTCGAGGTTTCTCGACTAGAAAAAGAACACAGCTGTGCACCCATTTAAAAACGGAAGCCAGTCATCTGTTAGGGTATGCATCTGAATGAAGAAAACAAAGCCTATGGCAAGACTTTTCCTCCCAACAGAATAACAGCATGAGAACCTGGGCCCAAACAATTATCTGTGGTCTCTAGAATCATGGAGGCAAAGGACAATAAGGACAGATCAGCTTATTTGGTATTCTTAAAAACCCACAGAGAAACTGTGTGTGATTACAAAGCCAAGGATCCAGATAAGAATGGGTTTGCCAACATGAACTGTTGAGGTCAGGGCTCTTGTGGTAAAGCAACTGAACATCCCGAGAAAGTGAGTATGTAGGCTCGGTGGAATTTTGCTTAATAAGTTGCACATTTGACATTGTAGGTCAGTTCTCCGGGTGCCAGGAGACAGAGCTTATTATATAATCACATACTTGTCCTTGCTGGGAATGAGCACTGAGGAGAGCCAGTCTGTTGCTTCCAGGCTTTCTCTGGTCAGCCGGTTGCCGAGGTGAGCAGCCTTTGAAAGTTTGAAAACTCAGTTTTGAAAGCTAAGTTTTGTTTGGGACGTCGGCCCCTCGCACTTACCTTAAGCCTTCCCTGTGGGACAATCCTGGGGCAGGCTGTCTTGGAGGCGGGAGGGACACAGGCCATCTGACCCTGACCTGAGACAGGGATGAGAAGCAAATGATTCCAGGGTTTCCAGCTTGCAGATTTCTGGCTGTTCGGCCACATTTTTTTTTCCAGCTACAGTAACATGCTGTGTGGGACTAAGGACAAAGGCCTCTCCAGGTCTGGCAGTCTTTGCTGCATCCATATCCAAACCGCATCAAAAGTTGTGTTTGTCTCCAAAGTCCTTACAGGCTTCTGCAAAAAGGACAAAGCTTTAGCCCCTCACCAAAGGAAGCCACTGGGTAATCCTGGTGTTTTCGAGAGGATTTTCTTTCTTCCAGTGTTTAAATGTGTACTTGGGAACAGGTAAACAAATGTAAATAACGTTCTTCCGGCAAAGGCCGTGTGAAGGTCAGCTTGGTCTACGCTTATTCAGGACATGGCTGGAAGAGGGAAACTGGCTTGGAGCAGGTGACGCCTTTATCTCTAGATGAAGCTGCTGTCACCTGTTCTTGGCAATGGGCCAGGTATGTAACTGCTCTGAGGGGGAAAGAACTTAGTATTAGGTCAACCTCACATATCATTTTTACCAAGTACTGAGGACACGGATGAAGGGGGTCAGAGGGGGAAGAGTTCACCTCTGGAACCTTGAGCAGACCAATGGGCGTGCTGCTTTTTTCACTCGGAGACAGGTACGGAGTCTTTACTGTGTATGTATGTCATCAGGCCCTTTGCAAAAACTCCCACTTGAGCTTTCCAACCTCATGAAAGACGATGTTTTGTAAGGTGGTTGCAGGTCACAGGAAGGCTCCAGTTTTCCCAACAATGAGGACATGTGTCACTTCACAGTCTAGACACCGTCAGCAGAGCCGGCCCCTCCTCGCTGTTTGGTTTCATCTTGAGGTGAAGTGAGGGTAGTTCAATGGATACAGGACACACAGCTAAACAAAACGCCTGCAGCACATACTGTGCCTGAGGCACGGTTGTTGCGGGCTGGTCCTGTTCAGTGTGGAAGAGGGTGGATTTTTAAAAGGAACGTTTTCTAGAGCTTTTTGGCCATTCCCAGGCTCTATGAGGGATGTGACCCTCCCTAAACCAATCAGGCACGAGGAATTGAGAGCACTGTACTTAACTCAGGCCAAAGAGGACTAAGGCACAGAAAGGGACAGACACATGCCTCCTTGCTCTAAGTAACAGGCGATGATGTTTGATTTGGCAGAGGACCAACAGCATCGCCAACACGTCTTCATTTCTCTTCTACGGAATCCAGGTGCAGCAGGAAGTACTTTGATACGGGGTTTAAATATGTCTTATTCCAAATTATATCCAGAGATATATTACCAGAAAATATCTAAATTCCTTTTAATTTTTAAGATGAAACAAAACAAAGTGAAGTTTAGAATTACAAAGATGTTGTCTACTGTGTTGACAGGCTTTCCTGCCGGCTGGTGAATTTCTAGTCAAAACACAACTTACACTTGTCAATAAACTGAAAATAACTGTTTACTTAGTGTATGGCACACACACACACACCATGACACGCACAGAAGCAAAGGGACAACTTGTGAGAAGCATGCCTCTTCTATAAATGAATTCAGGGATCAGGCTCAGGCCAGCAAGCCTGGTGACAAAGAACCTTTGCTCACTGAGGCGCCTCAATGGCTCTGCCTCCGTCAACCTTAAATACTGACTAAAACCTGGCCTCCACCCACACAACCCACAAAGAAACTGTGACACTGATGTCTATGGAAAGCCTGCTGAACTCTGTCTTGAGAACGTGGGGAAGAGGAGGAAAAGGTAAAGGGTCAATGAGACAAGAAGCCAAACACAAACAGCACAAGCAAAACAACTGAGTAAAATACCAACTCCAAAATCACAGCACTCTACATGGGAGGCCACTAGGGGTCAGCCATTTTGGGAAATGTGAATAACAAAAGGTGACCCAAGATGGCAGGAAAATCAGAGGACTGGACAAAGGTTACTCACAATTAACAAACAGGGTAAACAGAATCATGACGACCAAAGGCTAATGGTACAGCATGGTCTCACACACGGACCAGAGAACAAAACACACAAAAAAAGTCTGCTTATGATATTTCCACAAGTCTCCTAAATTTTTTTTTTAAACATCAAATTTTATTACCTGTTAGGATATGCCCACTACTTCAATAGTGGCACAAATTTAAAGGAACAACCAAGCACTTCTGAGTTGGACAGCCAGCCACTTTCGAATTGTGACAGCATGCACAAGTAAGTCCTGCACAAGGTCAAGGCAGATTTAAAAAAAAAAAAAAAAAAAAGGCCCAGTATTGGGGTGAGGTAGGGTGAGGCAGGAAGTCCTACCCCTAGTTAAGGAGCTTTGACATTTGATAGCTGCTGGGAGGGGAAAGAGTTAGTCTAGGTTGTGAGTCCTGGTAGGCTGACAACGCTCTGGGCCAGGCCCCATACCCAACAGTACATACACACTGTCTAGGAGGAAAAGAAAGGAAGTAGGAGGGAGGGAGGAAAGAGAGGGAGGAAAAGGAAAAGGAAGAGAGAGGAAGGAGTTTGAATAAATGAAAGCAAGCTCCAGTGGTATGCCCTCCAGAGAGTCCCATTAAATTAAAAGATAATTTTAAAAAATATATAGGATAAAAGGAAAAGAGCAGAGAAGAGCCATCAAGCAGGCAATAATCACGAAAGAGCTGAAGTGGTTATAGCCATTACAGTAAAAGTGAACTTAAGATAAATATTAAATTCAGAGGGTATCTTACAGTGGTGGAGGATCAATACATAAGAAAGACACAACGGATATAAGTGTACTCCTAACATTATCTCCAAATACACGAAACAAAAATCACACAACTGAAAGAAAAACAATGTAATGATTACGGTCAGAAATTAGCATACCCCACTAAGAAATTTCGTTACTATACATGTATATCTGTCTGTAGTGCCCATTTTAAAAACTACTTTATTTGGGGTGTTGGGTCTCAACCTCCCTTCCTACCTCACAATCCTATGTAGGAGAGGGTTAGTAGGGAGAGAGGGCCCCTTTACTTTCCCTGGCTGTTTAGAGTTGAGGGGTTCTTTTAGGGCTCTATACCAATCCCCATCAACCGCAGATGCAGCCAGCAGTCTCTTCCACGACACTGGGTTTCTCTGTCTGCTCCACACACCGTCCATCTCTTGGGTCTCTCCAAACTGCTACATGCCATACCTTCTCTTTCTGGGTTCTCAATGTATACTCTCCTAGCCTTAGACCACGCCCCTCTTCTGTGCCCAAGCTGGAAGGCCGTTACCAGCTGGCAAAGACCACGCCCCACAGGAGACAATTATCGGCTGTGAGCAAACTATAGCCCAACTAAAATCCCACACTTGGGATTAAAACAAAAACATGTTTACATAATGTAACTGAGCTTACGAAGAAACCAAAACTTCCATTACACCTGTATGTCCGTGTGTAGGTGCAGAGGCCGGAAGGTAGCTTTGGATCCCTAGAGTTGGCGTGAGATTGAATTGTGAGCCACTCTTCCATGGGGTGCTGGGACTCTAAAGCACCGAGCCCTCTCTGCAGCCCTCCACGTCCCATGCTTAACAGAACAAAAAGCAAAAATGTCAGCAAGTTGTGGCCTATTGGCAGTATCACTGACCAAAAGTCCAGTGCATGTTAAAAACGATCAGTGAACGGAAGACACACTCTTGTCAGGCAAAGAACACTCCACCACAGACCATAACACAAGTGTGCAAAAATGAGCTGGAATTCTTTGAAGCATATTCTCCCAAAACAATGGAAAATAGAGAAAACTATTATGTCTGTGGGGAGGGGGGAGGTGTGTCCCAAATTCTTGAAAATAAAGTGACATATGCCTAAACAACTTATCAAAAAAACAAGTGACAAAGAAAATCGGTGAAAACAAATATGCAACATATTGATACATATGAGATGAGCTTAAACACTGCATCCGATTGGTCATATACACAAATAATCAGTCTGTAGTTTTTGAGCCAATTTCAAACATAATGTCGCTGTACCATTTCTAGATTACAAACTATAAAATAAGTCACGACAAATTTGCAAATCACATACCATTTTATTAAATATTTTAACACTGCAAAATGAGTTGGCATATAAATATAAAAATAGAAAGCTGAGCAACCGCCTAAAGCACCACAGGGAAGCAGGGCACACAGCACATGGCTCAGGCCTCCAGCATGAAGGCACTGTAAATAGCCCACATAACTTCACTCAGGTACGAGAGTATCAAACACACGAAGGCTGGCAGGCAGGCCGCAATGGTTTCTCAGCATAAAAGATTCCTGTCCCTTTTCTTGTCTAGATAGAAAGAATCTTCTGACATACGGCACATGATTATTCTAGACTGACAAAGGGGCTGTCAAAGCCACTATCTCGTTGGCTAGTCAGGGGAGCAGTGAACGTTATCAAAGGCTTCTGACACACTGGAGATGGCCCTGTGCTGCTCCGTTTTCTGATATCTGGCTTTAACACACCAGTGCTCTGTGGAGACGGGTGTCCCAGCGGAGCCCCCACCTTCCCTTGCTGGGAATGCAGGGTTTCTTTGGGCAGATCTGGAGTGGAAGTGCTCTGACGAACCATATTGCTTTGCGGGCCATCTGGAAGACAACTGGCTGCTGAGAACTGTTTCGACTGAGCAGAGTCCCCTAGCAGGTCCAGAGTCCTTGGTGACCTATCACTGAGAAACAGCACAGCAGGACTGCCACAGGGGAACGTGCTGTCAGAAGGCCAGCCTGGAGAGCTGCCTGGGTCCCTTCCGTCCTTCACTGGGGTGTCCCGCGTGCCTACACCCCGACTCTTCTCACAGGCGGCACTCTCTGTCTCTGTTAGAGAACCACAGACAAACGCGTTTAGTCTTGGTGTTTCACTGGGGCCTCTCAGGGGTGTGTGTGTGGACTCTGAGATGGATCTAGGTGAGGATTTCTTTTCAGCAGTTCCAAGGAAGGGGTAGGTGGCTGAATAAAGAGGTGACTCAGAGGCAGCTCCACCAAGTGTATCTTTCTTCTCATGTAAACCAAAGCCTCCTTCACCCCTGCATGGGACAAACTCGGGAGCAGCATTCTTTGCCAAGATGTTTGGGGGCCTGCAACCCCCAACCACTGACTGACATTCTGAAGACGAAGCTGTGGAAGTCGTGGGCTTTGTGTCGCTGTGTTCTGAGTCCTCTGACCGCCGCTGTGAATTAGACGCAGACCTCCTCCTAGGAACTGGCTCACACCCACTTCTGGGGATAGTTTTCCCACTCTCTGGTTTGCTTTCAACGGAATGTGGAACCTTGTGATTCACATCGCTCCTTTCTGATCTTTCAATGCCCATCAGCAACTCTGAAGTCAAGGGAAATGCTACTATGTGCAAAGGAACACAAAATTAGGAGCACGGGAATTAAGAGAAAATTAACACTTTAAAGAGAATAATATAATTGTGTGTTATCAAAATATTATCAGCGCTACACTAGACAGATATTCTTTTAGTCATAGCCAGAGAAATGGTGGTTTCTGTGGCTGAAATGTTAGTTTATGTCAACTTGACACAAGCTGGAGTCACTGGAGAGGAGGGAGACTTATTTTCAGCTATCCCATCTATGTTCGTAGCAGGTACCGCATGTCAAGTGCCGACTGCAATGCAGCGCTGCTGAGTCTGGTGTCAAGCATGAAGTTTCTGACCAAGAAAGTATGGTAGAACACCCCATCGGTCTAGCGCTCAGGGCAAACATGTGAACACCAGGACATCGCACCAGATCAGAGGAAAAAGCAGCCACAGCATCAGGTTCAAAGACTTGTGATCCCATAAGCCGGAGCGGACAGGCAGAAGCTGGTTCTACTGGGGACATGATTTTGAGGAATCTTCCCCCAAACAGGAAGACTGCTCTACACGTCACTCCTGCACCTAACGTGCACCAACCCAAAACTTACACACCTAACACTTGTGATTCTACGAGAAATGTTTCAGGGGCCTGAATAAGCTCTGCTTCTAGGTGACCAGGTTAAAAGCCGAATTTCCTCACAGACATGTCAAGTGTCCAGCTGAGAATTTAGCAGTTTCCTTCTTGTATTTCTACCAGTGTATGGCCTTTTGCAGTGTAGTTTCATGGAAGATCACCCCGTTTCCACCCTTAAATGTGTGCTCTACTCTGCCCACTTCTGCATTTATGCTTATAACCGAATAGACCCATCTCATCTGCTTGCTGTCATTCCCTAATTACTTTGAGCTTTTGAGTTCTTGTAAAAATAGCAAGCATCAATATTTTGTAAAACCCTTACCCCATTCTCATTCAATGGTTGCTAATGGTGTAGTGTCTGTTTATGTATGTCGTCCAGCTTTTTCTCTTTTTTGATTTTGTTAGATTAAACCTTTTCCTAAAAGGTTTTCTTCCAGTAATGTGGAAGTTAGATAGTCATTTCTACTTCTCTGTGTTGATGTTCCTAAAGTTTACATCTTTCTAAGAATATCCACCATACTTCTAAACAGCTTCAGGCTCTGTTGCTTCTGTAAGTGTTCTCTTGCCTTAGATACACATTCAGTTAGCTCTGGTCTGTGTCTGTGTGGTCTCTCTCTCATGGTGGTGATGTTCTTTAAAGATATGATGATTCCCGGCTAAATGTGTCTTCTATGTCTTGAACGCAGTGTCTTTCTGTGCTGCCTGGCTGAGGAGCTGGTAGATGGGAACAGGCACGTGGCAAGGAAGCGGAGACCTGACAGCTGACATGCCGGGCACAGAGAGTAACAGCGCGTCCTTGACATCCAGGTACCCAGAACACTGCCCTGTTCCGACTCAGCCAAACGCTAGGGTTGGAGAAGGGGAAAGAGAAATGGGAGGGGGAAGGGCAGAGAAAGAATTGGAGAGGAGAGGAGGGGAGGGGAAGAAAAGAAACAAAAACTGCCCCGCCCCGGGCACTGTTCTAAACCACCAGCTCATCACCCACAGGCACCGAAGGGCTACAACTTCTCCTGGGACATAAGATCCTGCATGTGAAACGGGTTTGCTGCTGCTCCTCCTTGTACTGTCGTGGGGCAGTTTTGAGCTGAGGGTCCTCATTTTCTCAAATACTACCTTCTTTGTTTCAGGTGTTTCCTAGTCTTATCGACTGAAATTGCTTAAAATCCAGTTATAATTTTGCCTTTTTCGTGCTTTGTCATTTAAAACCTTGTCCATCACGTCTTGGGATGAATGCTACAGTGCAGTTGGTGAGGCTGTGCAGTCTACCTTTTCATGCATAGACTGTCAGAGAGCCAGACAGAGAGAGAGAGGGAACCCACCTGAGCGGCCTGCCTGGGCACACCCGACTCTACAGTCTGGCTCTGCAATCGTTCCCAGCAACTCTGCCATTGTGGCCAGTTTGCTAGCAGCATTCATAATCTTTTTCTCAGCTCTGTGGGGAATTCCAGGATATACAATTAAAACAGTTGAAATGAAAAACATGAGTCCTCAGCCCTGGGATTGTTTCCTACTCGCTCTGCCAACAGTGAGGAAAACCCGTCCTAAGCTTCTCTTGTGATCACATAAACAGTTCTATGGTTAAGGAAATGACAGCACCCCATCCTGGTGTAGTCGGGACACTCAGGGTAAACTCAACTCACCCCTCTTCCTTTCCATTATCCTGCAGGATCTGCTGAAGGCAAGTCAGGTAATACTTCCGCATCTTCCGGGCAGTTTCCTGCCGTTCCCGAAACACTTCTGCCTTTACCATTTCTGCAGCTCTTTCCTTGCTCTCCTGAATGTATCGAAGCATGTCACCTGCAGTGGGTGAAGAAACCCCACAATGTTTACTGTTTCTCCAAAGACAGGAGGGGCAAAGTTCAGACCAGTCTTTGGCAGGTGAGGTGAAGAAGTGTAGTTTATACATACTTTCCGTGCTTTAGAATGGAACACTTCACAATGCCCATTTGCTAGACTCAAATAAAAGCACTGTTAGCCCTAAGATGGTGATGGCTGCACATGGGAAGAAAACCAATGTACCCCGTTATATTCTAAAAGACTCGGGTAAGAGAAGAACAGAGAGCAGGAAGCGCACGTTCTATTGAATGTTATGACTCATTTAAGAGACAAGAAGTAGCCAGAAAGAGTGAGCAGAAAGGCAGACACTGAGAAGAAGGAAAATCAATATTTTTCTCCTAGGCTTGAATGTCTCCAGTCCATTCTTAGCCAATGTTTCTAGCAGCATTGATGGAACAGTGGTAAACTCACGAGAGGGATGGGATGTATAAGATGTTCTTTCTGTAGAGTGGCAAGAATCATGTTCCCTTCTGAATGGAATCATAATCCGCACCTTTCTCTTCATCAACATGGCTTTCAGTTGCACTGCTACTTTCGAAAACTAAATCTATGACCACACTCTACCCCCAGACGTGGCCACTCGTTATGTGGGGAATGCCCGCGCAGGCACTGCCCTGTCAATGTCAGAAAGCATCCGCATTAGATGCTCTGTGTACAAAGGCTAACTGGGGGAGGGGTGTCGACTTTTCCTTCTTTGAGATGGGAAAAAGTAAAATGATGTTGGCACATAACCTCCAGCTACCCTCCTAAAAGGCAACTAAAATATAGCATGCATACTATGTCAGGATAAAAGCGCTTAGTTTTCACTCCTCTCTGGAAGCTTGTACGAGCTGTTTGTTGTAACTATGCCCTTTGCTGGTACCAAGAACAACTGAGAAACAACTGTCATTGCCGATACTGATTGGCTTTCACATCTACAAGCAACTCTGATACCAGCAGCTTGGAACCTGAGACCTTTTCTGCCTTTTGTTAAAAAAATGAAAGTGATTTTAGAAGGAAGGTATGTTTCTCTACATAAACCCTGACTTCTGTACCAAAACACACCCACACAATGCACTTCTGTTAGAGCAAAAGGGTCTTTATTCTGGAGACACCCTAGAGCTGCCATCCAAGGCGGCTAGAGCTGACAAAGCCCTGGCACGCTCAGAGCCGTTTGGAATAAGGAGAAGTAAGAGACTGGAGCCATCCCCACAGTTCCTATGTCTGCAGCAGGAAGTCTGCTAAGGTGACTTAGGTCTTTGCCCCATCCGTCCTCTGCACAGGACGCACAGGCTCTTCCTCTGAGCCACAGTCCAGTCTTCACAGGGCATGTTCTTTACTCTAGGTTGTTTGTGTTTTAAGGATGTTACACTTCAAGACAGTTTGATTCTAACCTCTAAACAAAGACTAAAAATGATCAACAACATAAAAGTAACTGCTCTTGAGAACTGGAGAGGTGGCTCAGTGGTTAAGAGACTGGCTACTCTTACAGGGGACCAGGCTGCAGTTCTAGCACCTTCATAGTGGCCCATAACCATCCCTAACTCCAGTGCCAGTGCCAGGGAATCTGGAGCCAACTTCAGACCTCCACAGGCAAAAGGCATATCCATGGTGCATGCACACACACACATAGAGACATAAAATAAATGTAAAAAACAAACAAACAAGCAAAAACTATTATTGTGTCACTTGGGCAAACTAACCTATTATTTTGTAATTTGAGACAGCATCAACAATTTCTTCTAAGGGTAAAGAAAGAGGCAGTTTGAAAAAGTCACTAAAATGGCCAACCCCCTAGTTTCCATTTCACAACAGTGCAGAAGGCCTACACCAGCAAGGATCTTGAGCATCTCTTTGGTACTTACGTTTGATTTTTTTCACAGCTTTAATGTACTGCCCACGAAGCTCTTCCAAGGCCTGCACACTGCATGGCAACCAAGCACTCTCAATGGCTCCTGCAGACAGTGACCTAATAACATACCAGGTTGTAGAACCACAGAGGCGGTCAGTAAAGAGATTCACTTGGAAGGTTTACGTGCATTTATATCATCAATAAAATGACCTGAGCTGCGCCTGGGATTTTGCACAAAGGAACTGCCAGTATTCAGTTATTTCAAATCAGAGAAAGGCCAGGAAGGCAGCTCAGTTGGGAGAGCGCTTGCTTAGAACCTGTGAAGCCCTGGGTTCCATCACAAACCAGGTGTGCGAGCACACACCTATAATCCCAGTACTTACTACACCAAGGCTCAGATTCAAGCTAATCTTGAGCTGCATTTGAGGCCACCCCTGGGAGACATTAAACCTTGTCTCAAAAGAAAAAAAAAAAAAATGAAAGCAACAATCAACATTACGATTGCCTACGTAAATACTGGCAAATCCACATGATGAACGCATCCAGAGCTCCTGAAGAGCACAGTGTGGGGTGTCTGGTAACACAGGGAAGTGCTTCTCTAATCTTATACTTACACTAGCCCCCAAATCCCAATTTTCTGAACAATGCATACATGGCATGTACAGATAAACAGCCTACATGATATGGAACAAAGGGATAATAGACAGTCGTTCCTGTCAGTATATTCTATGTATGAGAACACAACAATTCAGGGGAACATTTCTAATATTAAGGCACTTAGAAAATGAAATGATTTTTGAACTGGAAGTTTACCGCGGTGGTGTTCTGCAAAGGGCCTTCAATGCTTCCAACTTATTCTTCATGTCATTGTTTTCTTCTATCAACTCTTCAACGACCCTGTTGTTCTCTTCTGTAACAGGAAGTCAGCGTTAACCTACTGCCTTTCCTTGAGTTCCTATGCAGGCCTTCCGAGGGCGTGCCTACTTCCCGCTCTCTCGTGTTACCGTTCCTCAGTCAGCCCGTCACTGAACCTTCCCCTGTGCAGTTTTCTCAGCGCTTAACGTCTATTTTGTCTTTATCTCTGAACACATCCTGAAACTTGTGTGCCAACTGTTTGGTGTATCTGTGCTGCGCTCCAGGTAAACTGAACCTCTCCAGAATGGTCTGCTTTGTCTGTTGTTCTGCAGTACTACGGCTGGAAGGCAGTATTACGCACAATGTGCAAGAGTTCTACGAACAAGCTGCATTCCCCACCAAGATCACTGGGTTTTCTAGCTCTAGGCACACTTGGCTCCTAGAGTTTATATTCATGTAAAGAATCCTTGAGCAAAAACCACAAGATAAAATGAAATAAAATAAATCTAAAGTAGATACTATTCAAACATTTACTGTGTAATATATTGTAGGTACTATGACTCTGAAGATAAATAAGATGGGACATATCCCGTATCCTCAAGAAACAGTGTGGATGGTCTCCAGCAAGCAGAATACAGAACGGCAACAAAGAGAACGGAGAAACCCATGCAGAAATACAGCACCATACAGCTGTGAGAAAATCAAGGAGGCACAGCATTTTGTGAGTTAATCCTAAAGCATGAAAATCAGACCAAAAAGTAAACGTCAGGGTCATGTACACATGACAGAGTAGTGACACTACAAGCAAGGCCCAGAGGCAGAGGAAACTGGAAATATATCCAAATGTGCAGCCAAGAGAACAGGGTGGAGGTTAGTGGTGAAGGTGAGATGGAGGAGCATGGAAGGCCAACAGCTCAGGAGCAATGGGAAATGGCAGCAGATAACCCCGAGAGCATATGTGAATGGGCCAGATAGAAGCTGGCTCAGACCCACAAGTTTTATTTATGCTATTTATGCTATTTCCGCCTCCCCAAGCAAAGCTTCGCTTGATAAACACTTCTGTTTCCAGTACAAAGAGCAATGTCTGACACATATTTAGGCCTTCGCTGTCTGATCGATCAAGAAAGAAATGTTAAGTTTTTTAATTCGACTAGTAAATACAGATGCAAACTGGTTTATATAAACCCTAAAAGAAAACCGGTGCCCATATTAAAAAAAAAAAAAAAAACGTTCTGTCTAAATGTTCCTGCCAGGACGAGCCAGCCTCCTGCGGTAGCAGCGAGCCAGAAGTGCTGACCTCCAAGTTTCTCCACTGTGGCTTTGTGCATCCTCTCTAAACGCTGAAAGTGCCTATGGTACTTCTCCAGCTTCCTTTTCAGAACTTGACACTCCTGCTTTTCCTTTTCACGCTCTTGGAAGCAGTGTCCACAGCATAAATCTTTAAACTCAAAGATCTTTTTATCTGTAAAAAAAAGTAAATGACACAAGACCTTTTGATAAAACTATTTGGGTTAAGGCAATCAAGAAAGAAGAAACCCAGATGGCAGGACTCAGGACCAAAGGCCACAGCATGACTGAAAGAGCAGGGTGCTTGAGAGAGAAGTGGGGTCTAGCTACTTGCTGGATGGCTACTTAGCCTCCATAAAGCTTAAGGTTTTGATACATAAAACTTGGTAATGGTACCCGGTTTAAAATTCCTGAAGCCTAATGCCCAGATCTTAATATTTAATACCATTTTCCACAAAGGGAACTGGAATTTTTAAAGAAATGGCTAACTTCAAGAGTGGAAGATGGTATATACAAATGAAACAGAAATACCCTGCCAAGCCAGAAAGTAAGAAAAGAACTAAAAAAGATGAGCACAGAACAAGGACACAGGTGATAACCTGAAGGATCTCCCTAGATGAATCTGGGCAATCTGAGTGCCGATTAAGTACACTAATGAACTATAAAGTATTGAAAAATAAGAATATGTGAATCATACAAATAATGACACAGAAAATAGAGAGATGAATAGTTGGATGGATGGTCCAGCAAGCAAGCTTTTTTTATTATTATTATAAAAACAAGCTGAGTGCCTACTGATGAATGTAGAGAGGTGTTTGGAATTGGAAAAATTATCATTTTGCAAGAGGACATTTTGCAGTAAGGACAATCAGGCAAGAATCACCCGTGACCCCCACATCTAAGAGAAAGCTTTAATGAGAAGGCTGTTGCCTGGTCCTTCCAGTGCCTCTCTGCAGATGGAGGGAGGGCAGTAATGAATTATGTAACGAATACACTGGACACAGTGTTGATCAGGTGATCAAAATTAACCTCAACAATAAAAGAGAAACGGACACTATGCGCTTCCAGATGCGAAGACACCACCAGTGCAGTCTTCCGGCCAAGAAGGCACAATCTGAATTGAATCATGAAGAACAGAAGATAAACCCCAAGCGAATAAATTCTGCTTAAAAAAAAAAAAAAGAAGAAGAAGAAGAAGAATGGGAATAAGAGAGAGAGTATTAATTCTCAACATTTCAAAATGATATAGGACAGAGAGAGGAGTGGGAATGCTCTATATCAAAGGACGTTATCCTAGAGGACACAGGCAGTGAGTATGAGGTACGGGTGGGGGAGGGTGCTACACTAGACATCACTTGGGTCAACTGACAAAACCAGAGTCAAACAGCAGGCTGATACTTTACTGCTAAACATACTGTACCAAGAGTGTGCAAGGGGAAACTATCCCTATTATTAGAGAACGCACACTGAGGCATTCAGGCAGAAAGTGTCACAGTGTATGTACCGTACCCTCAGATAGTTCTGGAATGATGACATTTCATGTACACGCACATGAGAACAGAACAAAAAATGGCATCAATGGGTACAGCTAGCTAAACAAGTAATCTATGAAACTATTCATACTCTTGTAAACTCCTTTTCTGTAAGTTTGAAATTATCTCCAAATTTGAAAATTTACTTAAAATTTTGGGAGGCATAAACAAAATCTTTTGGCATAGTACTTGACAGACAGTAAAAACACAATAAATAACAGTATTGGTCCTAGTAACATAGAATTTATGAGATGAAAATAATATATAGACTTAAAAAAAAATAAAACATATAAAAGTATTACCAAAGATAGGTAGCTATGACTGTGAATGACACGCTAAGGTGGGAAGCAGACACAGGGTAAGCCATGAGTATCTGGCCACTGAAGCGAGCAGACTGACATTATTTGTGGCACCGCCTAACTTTCCCATTTCGTGGCACCATTTATGCTCATAAAACACCGAAGAGTCACAGGAGCGTCACGCTGGGGCAGCGTGGTGATCCCAGACTTTTCATTTACAAAGCTGATGGCAAAACTGGAAACCAGGCAAGAACATCTGCTGACAGGAAATACACACACTGTGACGTATGTGAGCAACACAACATACGCATTTTTATGGATGAACTGGAGTGTTGGCACACGGACAAATCTTGGTAGCATCATGTCAGGTAGAGAAAAATCAGATTACAAAGAATATAATGTGCATTAATCCATTTTTATAATGTTTTAAGTTAAAAAGTATGTATTGCTCAAAAAAAAAAAAAAAAAAAAAAGCAACACAATGGCTTTTGAAAATCATCTCTGTCACCAAGGGCTGGGAGAAGCTGTGGGTGGAACTGTGGTGGAGCACTGTAGACCTTCTATTTCTCTCTGTCTCTCCTCTTGTTTTTCTGTTTGTTTTTCCAAGACAGAGTTTCTCAGCGTAGCCTTGGCTCTCCTGGACTTGCTCTGTAGCCCAGGCTGGCTTTAAACTCACAGGGCCCCACCTGCCTCTGCCTTCCAGAGCGCTGGGATTACAGGCGTGCACCACTGCGCCCACCTGACCTTCTAATTCTTAAGCCAAAGAATTAGGGGGGGGGGGGTTCCTGGTGGTTAGCTTATCCACTTACGGACACACTATTTCTATTCTTGGCATGTATCAACTACTCCACCATCAGTGGTTACATTCTTTAAAGACAGTAAGGTTATAAAACCGTCACTAAAGCTAGCGTGCCCCATGGTAATTTCTGGAAGTGGCACTGTGAAGGCCTCTACAGTCTTTCCTCATGAGCTTAGAGGTATGCTTACAGGAAATGACAAGACAAAGAAAAATGAGTCTTTACACAGTGCTGCTGGTCTTCGGCCCAGACCACTTTCAAAAGCGTAACACGCCTCAAGTGCATGGGGATGTGTGACCTAACACACAAGGTTTGCCCTGGCAACAAGAACAACAGAAACACAAACGGCAGCCAGGCAGCAGAAGGCTGTGTGCAATACAGGAAGGACACAACGGTTCCAGATACTGGAACGGATGGCATTTTAGGAATTGGCCAAATCCTAGTTCACAAATCTCAGTGAATAAGCAGCAGCCTCATATTCCCACAAAATCTTGACTGTAAAGGGCTGCGGCATAGTACAAGATATAAGTTACTTGGGGCCTGAAAAGATAATTTAGCAGTTCAGCTCACTGGCTGCTCTTCCAGAGGATCTGGGTTCGATTCCCAGAACCCATGTGGGGACTCACAACTATCTGTAACTCTAGTTCCAGGAGATCTGATGCCCTATTCTGGCCTCTGTGGTGCACAGATATAAAAGCACACAAAATACTCAAACATATAAAATCTAAATTTAAAAAATTTCCAAGATGTTATTTAAAAAAGTTAAGGCCTTACTACATCAAATGCTTACACATTACCAAGTACATGGCTATGTTTCCTAAAATCTGCACAAATGAAAAAAATGGCCAAAATGCATCAGCAGGATTTCCATTGATAAAACAGTTGAAACAGCGCTGGTAGGATGGCTCAGTGGTAGAAGCACGTGCTGCACACGCCTCACTACTGGGGTTTCATCCCCAGATGCCACAGCAGGGAAGAAGAAACCATCAAATTGTCCTTTGGCCTCCACACATGCACGATGGCACATGTGTCCTTGCCCTAGCACTGCATGTACACAAATATACAAACACAATAAAAATATAAAATGAGACACAACTGGGAACACATCGATAACAATAAAATAAAAGGAGACATAAGTTCAGGGGATGGATGAATGGAGGAACTGAAAGGGGCGAGGCTAAATGATGCAATTATATTTTAACTAAAGAAAAAACAACTGAAAGAAGTTTCAGTGATTTGAATGCTTAGTCTCCACTCTTCACTACTTGGCAATTCTCTTATGTGAAGCCCTTGATTTCTGAACAGTTAGGACCAAATGTCTGACCGGTCTCTCCAACTCTCACTCTTCACCTTACAAGACTCATTTGTGAATGGAGGGAAGCACATTGGGATGGAAGACGGTTTCAGTGAACCCTGCTCCTGAATACAAAATGCAATGTGGACAGGACACAAAATCAATACCAGCTTCTGGCAAGGCCGAGGACTGCGCACAGTGTCCAGAGGTGGAGACAGGAAGGGATGCTGGGACCCCAGGATCTCCTTGGCCAGTGTTCCAGATGACAGCATCTGCAGAGGTCTTGATCACATTTCTCTGAAATAGAGTGTATTCATATTTAATGCCTAGGGAAAATGTCTACAAATATTTGTTTAAAATCCTAATGTTAAAGAATAAAAAAATACAATTCTAATATTAAAAATACAAAAAGAAACCACATCAACAACCTTGCTTGCACCACAGCAATATATCTCTTAGCATGGTATATGGACAACATCCAATATGGCAATGGTCAGGGACCCTGACTGGCTAAAACCCAAGACAGAAGATAGTGAACATTACCAGAATTATTCCTGAAAATCTAGCATACTTTCACTACAGGAGTCAAATTCACGAGCAAGTATGATACAAATATTTTACTTCCTAACATATTCAAAATAAGTGCCGTAAGTTTGCTTAAAATTCTCAATAATATTTCTATTTTCTTCTACCCATTAAGAACTATTTTATTAATATCTTTCAAAAAGCATTTTCTTAAAAATTGTCTTTCGCACACCTAAAGAAGCTAAGCAAAAAGGAGGACCCTGGGTAAGATGACCAATCCTCACTCAGAAAGGCAAACAGGATGGACATCAGAAGAGGGAGAAAACAGGCAACAGGACAGGAGCCTACCACAGAGGGCTGTTAAAAGACTCTACCCAGCAAGGTATCAAAGCAAATGTGAGACTCATAGCCAAACTTTGGGCAGAGTGCAGGGAATCTTATGAAAGAAGGGGGAGACAGGAAGACCTGAAGGGGACAGGAGCTCCACAAGGAGAGCAAAAGATCGAAAAAATCTGGGCACAGGGGTCCTCCAACCAAGGATCATACATGAAAATAACCTAGAACCACTGCACAGATATAGCACATGGCAACTCAGTGTCCAACTGGGTACTCTAGTGATGGGAACAGGGATTGTCTCTGATGTGAATTCATGGGCTGGCTCTTTGATCACCTCCCCCTGAGGGGGGAACAGCCTTACGAGGCCACAGAGGAAGACAATACAGACAATACAGACAGTCCTGATGAGACTTGATAGGCTAGGGTCAGAGGGAAGGGGAAGAGGACCTCCCCTATCAGTGGGCTTGGGGAGGGGCAGGGGAGGAGATGAGGGAGGGAGGGTAAGATTGGGAGGGGATTAAGGAGGGAGCTGCAGCAGGAATACAAAATGAATAAACTGTAATTTATAAAAAAAAATAATTAATAAATTTAAAAAATTGTCTTTTCTTGCTTCCTGCATCCTTTCCATCTTAGCAAGCTTTTGGCCTATTTCAATCTCCTGGAGCGATTCTAATGAACTATAAATCAGTCTTTCATGTTTATGGAAAGCGTACTGCGAACTTGGAACCGCTGACTGACCCCCAGTGTCAAGTGCTGCCTCCACGACAAACGGGAGATTAGGCGTTCAGTCATCTTCCTCAGGGATGGAATCTGACCCACCCAAAGACAGCTGTGAAAGTCTAAACTCTTAGCTGCATTGTCTCATGTCCACAGCCGTGAGCCAGATGGGTCACACAGAGGAGCTGACACTGCTTGTGCAATTACAAGCCCTGAAAGACCTCCAGATGGATTTGGTATTGACAGGAAATGAGAATGTCTTAAAATTCTGGATTTTCACCTATAGGAAAAGTCAAATTCATGAGCAACTAAACTAAGACTGTAATAAACATCTATAATGAAAATGTGGAGAAGAAAGGTGGTGTCATTTTTTTCATTTGTAAACACTTTTCTAGAAAGCCAAATTCGAAAGTATTGGCATGATTTCTTCGTCACTTCTATTCCTAAAGCCTGCTCTTTTTCTTGTTTTCCCCCAGTATTCTCAATGAAGGATTAAGCCATGCTCACGGGAAGTGATCTTGCCAGTCATGTTTATTGATGGCAACTACGTAATAGTAACAGTGTTGTAAAATCGAGAGGAAACTCAAGAACTGAGATGAACTGGAACGAGGTCTGGTCGTTCCAGTCCATCTAGCTCTACACTTCTGTCCTTTTTCATATGTAGGATGAGACAGGCCAACAGGTGCTGGGTTAGGAACTGGGCCAGGGAGCGGGGTTCTCTTTTTCTGGGTGGCCAACCATAACACAGGCTTGCCCAAAACAACTCACTAGTTTGTCTCCGTATAAGCATTTCCCGTAGTCATTAGCACCAGATATGCTCAAAAATGGCCTTGAAAGCCTTCAGTGGTGATATGTTCCCAGACCCAAACTCTAATGTCTAAAGCTCCTCAGAGAATTACCTCAGGCGCTTCCCCATTTCTGGTCTTCAACACTGGAATAGGCTGGCCACACACTAGAACACAACTCTGAAATTTTCATGAATGCTTCAGCCCTTCAATCCTAAATTGGTCAGACTGGTTTTATCTGGTCTCAGACAGTTCTTATATGACTAAACAACACAGGGAATTCATTTTGCAAGCACACACATGGGGAATCTATGAAACTGGATTCGAGGAATTTCAGCAAATAAATCAAGCCTCTTGTTTGTTTGTTTTTTTTCTCAATAATTCTGGGACCTCATTGGCTCTTTTCGTATAAGACATAAATCACTGAGGACAAGAAATTGACTTCTAACCTCTTCAGAAAAACAAACAAACAAAAACCCACAAGCAACCCTCTGTATTAATGACATTCTTCAAGTGGTTAGGAACACAATTATTTAGTTCCTAAAATGTTCCCTTAAAAAAAAAAAAAAACCCACCTCATATATATGTTTAAGTAAAAGCTGTCTAGCAGCTAAACATCCTGCCTCATAGTGGTGGCACTATGAAGAAAGAAAGAAAGAAAGAAAGAAAGAAAGAAAGAAAGAAAGAAAG